CCCGAGACATAGCCTGTGGGGATACACACGTTACACGGCTGCCCATGTCTTACGAAGGGAGACAACACAAGGAAAGGCAAGGACAGACAGCGAGAGCTAGAGGGTGTGTGTTGGCCAACATACTAGAGAAGAGAGAAAGAGAGAGAAAAAAAAAATGGGAGGAAAGCAAGCAACTGACCACCTGGAGTCATCCTTCTGAATCCAACCTTCCGCTGCAGAGGAGGCACCATTCCTGACCAGAGAAATGAGCAACCTCTGAAAATAGGGACCTTTTCCCCCTCGTAACCACAGTTAGTCAGGAACCTTTTCATACAAACCCAGCCCCAACTTAGTGGGCTTCCCAACCTGGACTCAGGTTGGGCGTGAGCAGAGCCCTCACCAAACCAGACACTTATCTCACTGACAGCGGCGTCTCCTCAGCTCCCAGATGGACGGCTTTTGAGTGGCATCAACAATGCTCAGAGTCTCGACTCTCGGGCTCCCTTTCCATCGCATGAGGGCAGTAGACTGATGTGTGACTTTGTTTTCCTTGGTACTAAATCCAGCGGGGGGCGGGAGAGGGCAGGATTAGCATTTCCGTCTGCAATGTCGCTTACTCTTTTCATTTCACATCTCCCATATCCCACGGCCCCATCCTCAACCCATCTCCCATTACTACGTTACAACTGCAACTAGAAGGCACCCATTGTAATGGCACCCAAAATACTCACTTTCCTCAGGAGACTCGTCCCTTCCCCAGCCTTAATCCCAGAGCCTCGTACCAAACAAGGAAGCACATGGCCTGTGAAGAAAACTACAGCGACTACAGATGAGGAATTCAAAGCACTCAACTCTTACTCTCAGCCAGCGATGCAGAAGGCAGAAACATGAGGACTATTCATGTCTCCTTAGAAGGATGTCCAGGCCGCTCAGGTCCACTTCTGCCATATTCTTGTCAGGCTAGGGCTCCTGGACGATTCCTCTGCAAACTAATAAAGCCAAGCAAGAACTATCACTACACAGAGTTCTATGGGTGCGTCGAATCTTGCCCTCATCCCTGCCTCCCTCTCCAGTCCCATCTACATCACTCGATGAACAGAGACCGAGTAAACACCGTCACAGCTCCACTTTGGCGCCCACTGCCCCGTATGGTTTTCGTCCGCTCCTACTTCTCCATGACTCCCAAGACCTGGCCTGTGGGGATGCACACCTTGGACGCCTGACCATGTCCTACGAGGGATTCGTGTTGGGGAGGAAGAAGAGATAAGGGCTGAGGGGCCCCATGGGTGGAGGGTGGAACTGGGGTGCAGGGTAGGGATAGGGATGCAGGTTGGGGAATGTTGGAGAAAGGAGAAAAGGGCACCAGGGGGCCCACAGATCTGGGGAAGATTGCGGCCCGCTGGGGGTGCAGGGGGGCGAGGAAGGTTGTGGCAAGCTCGGGGTGTGGGGGTACAGGGGATGGGCTGGGGGGAAGAATGTTGCAACAGGCTGGGGGTGCAGGGGGGAGATTGCGGCGGGCGGGTTAGAGAAGGTTGCCGCCCGCTGGGGGTGCGGGAGGTGCGAGGAAGGTCGCGGCGGGCTCGGGGGGCACGGGGGACG